AAACTATCAAATGAATTGTTTGTTGTGTAGTTAATCCAAACACATAGGGAATCCATATATATAGTAGTTGGAACATCCATACCAAGAGACACATCTCTTGAATAATCATAATTATTGGAAGTTACTCATACCAAAAGTCATGCTCTCCAAGAGTCATATTCCATATGAAAAGACACATTTTTTCATCTACATTCTCTAGAATATTCCACAATATTCTACACAATTCCAATAATTTCAAGTATTAAGTGGTTTAAATTTGGCTTAATTTCTCATTCACCAAACAAGGAATTTCCACTTAAATCATTTCAATTGGTCACAACCAATTTCCAATACAAAATTCCAACAATTGCCTTTCCAAGTAGAGCAGCCTGCTTCTGAGAGAATTCAAAACTTTTAAAATGAATCACCCTGCGCCCCTATATGTTGTTTTCTGTAGGGGCTTGGCCGCGATTAAGATAAATCTTTTTCTTTAGGATAATTTTGTTACAAAATTGACTGCAAAATACAATGTTTTCACTGTTGGAAAAGGGAACAAACTGAAATGAACAGTAGCGAATCCCATACTAAACAAGCACAAACTGGAAATAAAACAGAAAAATGAAAATTGCAGAAATGTATGAACCGCTGTAAAGAGAAGGGATCTGCAAATCGAGATATGTGTAAACATAGTATATGCTCCTTCACCGTAAGTGCTTGAGGTTTCTTTGAGTATCCGTCTCCCATGATACAATGGAAGAACCTGCATATAAATCAAGTGCTGGATTTGCAATAGAACTATAGCACCAAACTTTGATGGAAGGACAAAAACAGTGGAAAATAATTTTTTGAGGCGAAAAGGACTGCATAAATAGGCTGGGAGTTACAAGTGTCACAACGTTAATCCAACTGTATAATTCTCAATTACACAGGTAATAAACGTGGACTCTCCTAAAGGACCAATTTTTGGTCCATTCAGTTCGACATTTATTTATGCAGGTCGCTCCCATACACAAGTTCAAGGTCTGATATACAATTTGGTTCGAGATTTGCACCCCCTGCTTGCGCACGTGGAGAGAGTCTCTATGCTACACGTGATTGCACTATTTCAAAATGTAATTATATATAAAGTGATCACTGTCTTTATCGTTTTCTTATGTGATACAACTTTAAAATAATTTTCCCTCCAACACAAAATATCTTTCGATTCATCACTTTGAATTTCATTTTCTCATTCACCCGATTATTATTTTTAGCAAGTAAATATATAATTTCGATACTCTCACGAAGGAGAACACAAGTCAACTTTGATCTTCCAAAATGAACGGACGGATCACACTCAAAATTATGCCCAAATTAACTTACTAAGCCATTTTCCCAACTTGCAATGATTTTTTTTAAAAAATTCACGAATCACCCTTTCAACCCATTACTTTATTAAAATTTCTAGAAATTCCCAAAAAAAATCCTAAAAATCACCGAAAAAACATGGGATGTTTTATTACAATGAAAAAGGCTGGCTTATTTGAATTGCCAAAAATGTTGTCCGTAAGTTATGTTACCCTACCTTCTTATGGGTACTATTGGTAAAAATATGGTTGCAAAATACTATATTCTGTTTGAATTTAATGTGCAAAAATCCGAGAAGACTAAATGCATGAACGGTTGAATGGAGTCGTGTCCCAAGATGCAACGATCATTTCTTCAGGTAGCATCACTCATAACCACGAGAAATGGTGAACAGTGAAGGGACTAGGGGTGGGTAAAACACGATCGAACCCACTAAAACAGCCCAAACCAAACCAACCCGACCGGTTTGGGTCCCTTTTTTTGTTGTTTTTACACGGGTTGGGTGGGTTGGCTGTGTTGGCGGGTTGAATTGGGTCGGGTTAGTGTAACTATAATTACCTTTATGTATTTTAGAGGAGGAGCTTACTGTTCTTCACACAAGAAATGAAATATAAATTTTTCATGTCATGTTAAATGCACTTTGTTCTTTGTAGTCTCGACTAATAAGGATTGAATAAGATAATAGATAATTTTATTTATTTGCTTATTTACTTACTATTTAATCTTGTCTATTCGAATTTAGTATAATAGAAAATTGGAGGACTTTAATTTTTTTTGACAAGTCGTCTCAAACCGACCAACCCAACCCTTGGGCTGACTATGAACTAAAAGTTGGATTTCAACATTTATATAGGTTGGGTTGTGTTAAATTTTGATCAAACCGATTATGTTGGGTTGCGGCAAAAATTGACCCAACCCAACCCACGCCCACCCTTAGAAGGGACTAATGGAAAATAATTTTTTAAGTATGATTCAGAAAAATGTTGGCAATGCTGAAGGGTATGGTGAAATCTTATAATCGATACACGTATGATTTCATAATGGATTTCATGGACTCGCTCGGTTTTGCAGCTGATTTAAGCCCCGTTCGGTAGGGATTAAAATTCAATTAAAATTGAAAATATGACCGTTATTGAGTCTCACTCGTCTAATAAAAATCAACAATAACGGCTATTTTTTCAATTTTAATCTGATTTTAATCCCTACCGAACGGGCCCTAAATATTTTTTCAAATGACCCTTTTATAAGAATCATGCAATCTTGTACCTTTCATATTCACTACCCAACCCGACTGATACTTGATTAGGTTGGGTTTCAACATTTATATAGGTTGGATTGTATTAAATTTTGATCAAATCGATTATGTTGGGTTGCGGCAAAAATTGACCCAACCCAACCCACGCCCAAGGGACTAATGGAAAATAATTTTTTAAGTATGATTCAGAAAAATGTTGGCAATGCTGAAGGGTATGGTGAAATCTTGTAATCGATACACGTATGATTTCATAATGGATTTCATGGACTCGCCCGGTTTTGCAGCTGATTTAGTCTAATCTGAATCACATTTATTTGTACTTTATGGGTGTGTTGTCAGATTTTTACACCATTTGCATACAACTTTTTTTTCCATGATAGAACTTGACTGATGAGAATTAACTCCAGAAGTAGCAAACAAAAATAGTTAAGTTAAAAATATAAAATGATTAATATATTACTGCCTACAGACTCAATTTTAGTTTAAAACACCGAACCAAATCGAGTAAATGGTAGAAAGATGAATGTGGAGCGTAATTAGTCCTCGGGTTTAATGGATTGTTCCTTTGGAGTGCAATGGGCAGGACGGAAAGCCAAGGGGCCAGCAGCGTATATCACAGCCTCGTAATTCTTTCCAACAAGTTTCTTATCTTCATAACGAAGTGGAGCACCATAGAGTCCATAATCGATATTGGAGAAAAGATTGCAGTTTTCAAGAGGTGATGATACCAATTTTACGCGGCACGAGTGAAGGGGATGATCCAATAGAGCGTGGCTCATCTTAAATCCTAGAAGCTGTGCATAGAAATATCCATTGTTATCAGTATGGAATGCCTTATAGAATCTGACTCGGTTTCTGTGGTCCTTGCAGATAACACTAACTGTGGCTGCTTCAATGGGCTTTGCTCCTGTTAGAGACCATGTTCCGTAGAGATCACAGCTCTGGCAGTAGACGACTCCTTCCACCACCACGTCAACTTGCTTCTCTGCCAGTTTTTCTTGTGCAGTTATTGAGGAAACAGCCAAAGAGAGGACAAGAAATGAAACGAGGGTGGTGGTGAGTCGGCTGTTTGCCATCTTCTTGGAAGGCTACGAGATTGTTTGGCGATTTTGAGTATTGTATAAGGTACCATATATATAGTTACTGCTGTGGGCATTTGTGGGGTTTGAATATTGGAGACCCTAACGTGGGTACCACTAAACTGCATTTAAATAATTTGTTCTAATAATTCTTGCTAACGTGATTGCCACCTTCATGTTATGTTGCATATTTAATGGAAAATATCCATTATATACTTTTGTTCACATGATCTTGTGACGTCAATAATAAAGGTTTGGTTTTATTATAAAGGTCTTACAATTCGACTATAAGTTCATTATTCGTTCAAATTTATATCCGTATAGGAGTTTGTAGATTCGAGTATGAAAAGGCCCAAGCCACACACAATATTAAACTAGATACAAAGATTCAACAAAATACAGAAAGTAAAAGTTGCAGAAATTAAAATGAACACAAGATATGTTTTGGACTAAGCCCCGGAGGTTCGGCGCCCGGATC